GTCAGAGATGGGGGCGCCTGTAGCTGCTCTGCCGGAGCCCCTGCTTCACCTCACTGGACTCTTTAAAGAATTCAGAAGCGGATGGCAAACAGTAATGTCACTGGATACTTATTTAGAAATAAAAACGAACGCTGCTGAATCAGAGCCAGTTTCTGTGTTCGTGTTCAGGTGGCTTCGCAAATACATGGGACTCAGCTGTGTCACCACCTACCAAACTCGGGGGCCAGCAGCAGACGTGTCGCAGACCCGGGCCTGATTCCTGCCCCCGGCCCTTAGCGAGGACCCCGGAGGCCTAGCCTCCCGCCGGCCCACGGCTGCTCCTCCCCGTGGGGGCTAGGGACCCATCCTCCCCAGGGCTCCCTGGGCTGCCGGTCTCCTGGCGCCTGGGACAGCAGATCAGCCCCCGTGGGCCTCTGCCGGGCGGTGAAACCAGGAACACGCGGGTACGTCCTCCAGGGTCTCGATCCACACACACAGCTGGAGGAGGCTCTGTGGAAGGTGGTGGCGTTAACCTGTGGGAAGCCTGGAGCTTCCATTTGTTTTTACCCCCCCACCCTTCCAAAAGGCCTCCAAAGCTGCTTATGGCAACAGGCGCAGACACAAACCATGTAGTAGTGAAAGCAGGCGGGATGGCCTGTCCTGATCCCAGGCACTTCACCAGAGAGTCAAGAATGGTTTTGAACATCTTCAAGTAGTTGAAAAAAAATTTACAAGAGTATTTCATGACATGAAAATGATAGGAAATTCAAATTTCAATACCCATACAATAAAGCTTTGCATTTTTTAGTTAAAAATTCATGGGCTGGGGGATGCCTGGGAGGCTCAGTCGGTTGAGCATCCAACTTCGGCTCAGGTCATGACCTCGCTGTTCGTGGGTTCGAGCCCCGTGTCAGGCTCCGTGCTGACAGCTCAGAGCCTGGAGCCTCCTTTGGATTCTGTGTCTCCCTCTCTCTCTCTGCCCCTTCTCCCCGCTTGCACTCTGTCTCTCTCTCTTTCTCGCTCAAAAATAAATAAGCATTAAAAAAA